CTTATTAAAACGAATTCTTATATCCTTGATATAAAATATTATTTTTCTCGCGTTTATTAATGTTTCCACAAGCTCACAATTCTGAGAGATACATCACGAAAAATCTTGATAAAAATCAATCTCTCTTCTCGAATAGACACTCGTTTGTGCTATTATCGGCGGCCAAGGTGCACGCCGCGCTGTGTACAAGCGCGAGAGACGATGGAGGGGGCCTAGTTCTCGGACCTAATTAGCATGGGCAAATTCAGGCCTAGTTTCACGCCCGTCTCGAACGCGGCCTAAAGGTGAGGTCGGCCTAACGTATGCGCGCGTGACAAGATCCTCTTGCGAAGATAGCGAAGAAAATTTGTCGCCCGGCCCGCCTCGGTATTCTGGTCAGGGACACACTGGGAACGCGCGCAACAGACGGCGATAACGAAACCAGTTCTCTTTCTCTCTGGTGGCGTGTTCGGCGGCGGCGATCGCCACGCTCGTCGCGGTTCACGGCTCGTAATTATTCCTAGGGGCCTATTGGCGAACCCACCCTGGAACAGAGAGAAAGAGAACCTCCTCCTTCGTTTCTCTTTTCTCGTCGCCGCGCACGGAGGAAAGCAAGAAGATTCTGTTTCGGTAACCGTGAAAATAACAGGTTCTTAATTTTCGAAGAGGGGAAAAACGGGGGGGAAGAAACCGGATCGAGGGTTTAATGCCTGTGTAATTTGAGCTCGTTTCACTGAAAATGGATGGCTGTCTATGGTGGATATCTCGCGGTGCTTACTCGACGAGTAAATTGATTAATTCCCTGCTTTTTCTCGATCTGATACGGGAATGTAACACAGAGTCGGCAATGTTTCTATCCGCGGGAGAACAGTGTCTCCGTTATCCGATACGGGAAGCTTGTCGAGGAAATAAGATAGAAAAGTGAAGATAATTAATAGAGTTGGTCTCGTTTTAACGGACCACGACGGATTACGGAAGCGGCGGAGGTCGTGGAGTGACGCGTGGCGAAATTTTTGGAAGGTCGCCAATCCCGTCGCGGCGGATGTGGACGGGGCTTAAAAGAGCGAGAAACCTGGCCGCTTTCAGGGTGCAACGTCCTACCTTCTCGAATATGGTCGTACGTGGAGAGAGAGAGAGAGAGAGGAGGAGGAAGGTAGGCG